ACTTTGAGAGCGCGTAGCCGTTCCGGGCGTTCCACAATCAACGAGGTATCCTTGGATCGTATGTAGCGATGTCTGTAGCATTCATCTTGTAAAAGTACTGCGACTTTGGGTTTGGTTGTGGTGGTCATTATCGTGTCAGGCTTGGCTGTCACGGTGCGCGTGGTGTTGTGATGGCTGGAGGTGAGGTCCAAAAGCTTGACGCGGTTCTGAGCTGAGTTTGAAACGCGTTTGTCCTCGACGCCCAATCACCTCGCCTGCGTTACAAACTATTTCTTTGCTTCTAGTGTATCAAAAATACCTACTTTCTGACTTTAGCTGCGAGTTTCAACGCATGCCATGCAGACCGTCGCTCTATTTTCAAACCAACGCGACTTAACCTTATCTTGCATTGCTGGAATCTGTGACAAATCTATCTTCATTTTTCTTCTTCCTGATTTTTTCTCCAATGAACTCTGGTGCTCACAACCTGGCCTATATGGGAAATAACGATATTTCCATTTATCAGCAATGGTGGCCACTATATCCGATGCATTACTATACGGCAAGTACCTCAGTTATTGGAAATCATTCATCAAGGTCTGAATCCACCATTTCGTAACCCTCTTAGTTCCGCTCGCCCGTCGAGTCACCAGTGACCTACGCTTGATCGGTCGAATCTTCTCGAGGAACACATAGTCGGAACGAGTCCCGAACCTTGTACTCAAAGTAAGGTGGTTCCACTTTACTAAGCGACGAATGGGTACACCTCTGTAGTCGAAGGGCGAAATAGACGAATCAGTCGGTGATCAAATTGTCCCTAATCACGTAACAAGTCATTACTTCTGGAACACAGTCAGGATACAAGATTTGTCACCTAGGGTGGACTCTTGTATCGCGTCCCATCCTTCCACCACCGGGCTCTCGAAGGTTACCCGAGTCGCGTGACATAAAACGACTTCTCTCGGGCTATAACAGATTCTATAAATACAGAATGACTTATACTGTTCACGCCCATTGGCATTTCTCTAGGATCCTTTCGATAGGTTGCCGAGTGGCCCTCCATGTCGCACGGAGAGGATGGATCTACACCTTCACATCATTCCGTATCAAGGAGCCGGGAATCCATAAGAAATTCACATCAAACCCATGTGCAAGTTGAGAGTGGCGTTCCATCCCCATCCGGTATGGAAGGTCGTGTGGCTAATGCGATGAATGAAATACTCGTCGCTACCAATTCAGAACAGTCTCCCGATGCTGTGCCTTCTACACAAGCCGTCAAACAACGCCATACAAGAGCTAATCACAATGAGCACGAGATGCCTAACATCGAGGCGACACCAGTAAAGGATGACCCATGCGAGTGGTCTCCGAGAAGAAAGGTAGATAAGATTCCTTCATGGAAATGCGCAGATAACTTAGCCACCTAGCTCTTCATACTAGGCATCATATCGCTTGCAACCCTCGCTCCCACCGC